CTTTCAGATATTGTTGCATGGCGCCATCGTAGTCTCCTTTTTGATATAAGAAGTCCCCCGATTTTCTGAAAATCATGTTTTGCTGCTTAGAGTCCATACCAGCCTTTTGAGCCAAATTGATTGCGTGAACGTAGAGATTTCTTTGGTACAGAGTCTCAAGTCTCTGTTGTAACGGCTTCTCATGATAACGATGTATCTATTATATTGTTAGCTTGCATCAAGATATCGACCAATACTACCAACCTTTCCATCTTGTGTCAACGTAAATAAATCGCCCCAAATCATAAACAAGTCTTTGACTTGCGAAACTAATGACTCCGAGTGGGCCACAAATTTTAGATCTGTATCCAATAAGGTGAATGTCGACGTGTTGAATAAATCATCTGCATGAGCCCCACCAAACCGCCGAATGGCACTGGATTTCGTCGCACTTGATGTTGCGGGGGGAGAGACTATCGCAACATAATCCCCATAAACTGCTACCAGGCTTTTTGGGCCATCATAACCATAACACGAATTTCGACCGTCGACTCTATAGTAATAGATAGCATCATCTCGGACTACTAATATATCACTATTCTTTTTATCCACCGTCATGCATCCCACACCACATCCAGAATCTTCGACCGGTCTTGCTGATTGATTATGCGCTCTTCCTGAAATGACGAGCTTCACGAGACGGGAAGTCGTGGCGATGTACAAATTAACAAGTCGTTCTTCTTCTCGAAATGAAAGTCCGGTAATCGGTTCCTCGGATTCGTGTACTGTTCTTTGCTTCGCTCCTCTATCATGGATCAAATCTCCTCTTATAACGGTCACTGCACCATTTCCGAATCCCACAGCCAATTGTGAAAGATCATCCATTGCGGTAAATGCAGAGATCTGGGTTGAATTAGCGATCGATCCACATCTGCGGAGATGCCACTGACAGGAAACTGTTTCCGCCCATTTTGGATACTCAAACTCGATTGACATGTCGGCAAGCCTGTCTTCTTCACAGGTTTGTCCAATGCCCATACTTTCAGAATCGGTTCATTTGATAAATCTTCCTAAAATACATCAGTTCTTGATGTTGTATCACCCTACGTTGACACGCACAGCTATTGTAACCAGCAACGATGTGCCTTCCACTTGTTTCATATGAGTTATCGACCCAACATCGTGTGCTTGGAATGTTCGCAGGATCTTGAAGTTCGAGGATAAGATTCGCACAATTCCATCATAGCTCCCTATGAAGAGATTCTCGGAACCGGAGCATACGCAGCTTATTTCGTTGTTCTCGAAGAAGGATTTACTCTCATCATCCGGCGGTTTGACTTGGCTGACCTCGAAGAAATCGAACGTTTTCCACTGCACTTTGTTAGTGTTTTCCAAACGAGATGGAAGAATTGACATACAGAAGTTAGAGCCATGTTAACATTTCATCGCGTTCATAGCGGATTGTAGAAGTTGAATGTATAGAATACCTTCGGTGAACACAAGGCTGGCCAGGGTGAGCTCAAGGCTAGTGTAGGCCATCGGTGCACGGACTTTTAATGTATGTATGTTTGTTTACATGTGGAAGGAACGACACCTCAATCTGCGTCTCATGCTGGCTTTCTTACCAATCAAACGGATATCCTCTTCTGCACGATTAACCAAAGAAAAAGGGGAAGTTATGATTTGAAAGTCACGCTCTATTATTGGAAGATAAGCTCCCAGTCTTTCTCCCTGAAAGGAGAGTATTCTTAGGTTAAAAATACATCAAACATCCACCATCAAACATCCACCGCTACGTCGAGCATGATGGTCAACTAGAATTATACTAAGTGTTCCGTTGATGTAGTCTCCTCTCCATCTCCCACCTTTCTTGCCAGTATATCCTCATTGCTGCAGCTTCATCTTCCCTGCAATCTGCACATTCTTGATTTCTGGAGGTAGAAGTATAGGTTTTTGGCATACAGCCATGTCTATGGACAAGATCGATTCTGTCCTCAGAAGTCTCGTCATAAGGATAAACTCTAGCTGCGTTGGCTAGGTCCAACTCCTCTGTCCAACGATCTGCCTCTGCCTTCACCATTGCTTCAAACTTTGCAATCCTCTCTTGCTTCCTCCGGGCTCTCTCCTTTTCGTTCGCCTTTCTTTCAGCCTCCTGCTCCAATTTCATATACGCTTGAATTTTTTCCGAAGATTTATCTCCACGAAAGCATGTCGCAAACCTCAAGTTTCTATTCCATTGCTTCTCATTCTCAACTTCTTGTTCCTTTTCAAGTACTTCTTCTCGTATCCAAGTCCGTATTGCCTCGTCCAAGTCCTTTCTCTCCCTATCCCACGGCGTTCCTCGCTTCCTCTCAATCTTCTCACGGGCGCTCTCGCGACTTCTTGCTCTGTTCTTTCTATTTTTCTCGCTTTCCCCCCTTAATGTTTCCAATTCAGTCCTTTCACAATCTTCTTGTTTCTTCTCCAGTCTGTATCTTTCTTTATCTTTCGGTGTTCTACTTGATAACCATTTTCCCAAGTTACGCCTCTTTTGAGAGCTTGTCAAAAGGCACTTTTCGTCAGGTGCATAATCAGCTGGTTGCCATATTCCCTCTCCTAGATTATATGGCATGACGAACTAAGATTTGCTGATTCAAATCGTATTGGCACGTCAAGGTGACAATGAGAAGCGATGCAAATTTGATTCGAAATAGGACTATTTGAGTTGGCGTGTTTTGTTGTTTCTCGACGTATGATCGAAATTCGCTTGTGTCTATCTATGCCTTTTTAAAAAGCATATACACAATCGGAACGGCTTATAATTTTTGTATTGAGCTATGACGCCCTTGAAGAATTTGATGTTCTCGAGAAGATGGATTTCTAGAAATAATCGAGGATCGTATGATTGAATCGAGTGGTAATGCTGTCGAGGGGATCGAATGAATAAGTCGGAATAGGACAACTTGATAGTCTTGGGTAAAGGTTGCGGACTGCGAACAGCTTGTAGTCAGGATGTTTGGTATGTATATTATCGTTTTGGTTTTGGATATTTTCTGTTTGAAGATTGATGGGAGAAAAAAAGCGCGAAGGGGGTGTGGAAAAAGACTTGAGCATAAGGCAGTGCACATAAATTTGTGAATCGACAGGAGATCTTGGAATGAACAGTCATTAATGTACTCACAGGTTTGCTGGTGAACATTGGACGATCAAGTCTTGTAGTCACCGACTTCAATACTGATACTATCTAACTAGATCGAGCACCTCATATAACAGTAATGATCCACAGTGCAGAGCTTACACCCTGCCACTGATTCACGATCCCATACGCCACACTCTATATTTCACACCTAGTCCGCGGTTTATTCACACACAATTTTATCTCTGATGATTCCGCTTTGATCAATGAATCGCAACTATCATATCATTTTCACCAATTTTAGTGCCCTCGCATTTTACTTTTCCAGTATACATGTTACACATGCTATTCCAAACTTCTAATCCACCAACCGCTCATTCTCTATTGAGCAAAACAACCACCCATTCTCTCCCCACTCATATCACCCCGTCTTTCAAGAATCAAAATAGACCCCCAAGATCCGACCTTCTATACCATGACCTCTATCCTCTTCTACCACACATTGCAGGACTTACTTCATAGTACCACCCACACACCTCAAGCATCACAAATTTCCACCCCCAAAACACCCGAAACGAAGTCTCCTCTCATATGATATCACATACCAGAAGCCATCACAAGTCCAATCTCACTCCTCTCCTCATGTCCCCCATGCACTAACACCCTCCCATAACATCTCATGCCCCCCTCTTCTTCAACCCCGAAACCTCCATCCAAAAATTCCCTTTTCCCTCAATCCATTCCCATTCCCCAAAACTCCCACTCACCTACCCCAGCACATCCAAACCACATTAAGCCCTCAACTCACAAATTCTCCTCCCCCCTCTCTCCCTCTCTTCGTCTTCCTAGTCCCCCACCAATCCACCTCTAATCTCACCACATTGCATACATACTAAATCACGCTCTCCCACAAATCAAACTCTAGACATCAACTAATCAACTCACCTCCCGCAAAAATAACTCTAATCCACCTCCCAATTTACAAACACACCAATATAAAGTAAAAAAACACCTACCTATATACACAAAAACCACCCAATCATCATCTCTCAATCCCCAGCACATCTCTTCACCCCCATCAAGACATGAATTTCCACTGCAATCCCGAACACTCCCACCCCAAACATCACAACCCAGCACATCTCAGCCTTACAAATTCCCACTCAAAAGTCAAAACTCACCAAAAAAAACCTACATATCCCAACCCTACCCATCAATTCACGTATTCATTCATCTCGTCGAACAAGGACGCATGCCTGCTCCATACAGTCACACAACCACACACATGTACTAACACCTAGTACCTACCGATAAGATACCAATCATGAATGTTTTAGGCCCAGCACCCCATACCTAGACTCATCGTCGTGGAGGAAGCACTGAATGTGTATCGATGTCATGTAAACTTAGATGTCTGAATCTTATTTTAGAGACTCATCTAAAGTGCTGCACGAGGTTGGAAAAAAGACATGGAATAGAATTCAACGATGTTATAGTTAAGTGTACAGCCAATGTATTGATTTCATCTAAGTAGTTTATGATCTGGAAAACAAACATTGGAGAGAAAAAGCTGCCAAAGCAAGAATGCTTAAAGGAAAATATCCATTTCTGTGACGCTATTGCTCGAATACAATTTGGAAGGTGAGCGACCCATCCTCGCTCTCATCATAAAACCATTATTTGTGGAACTCATTGGTCATTCCTCCACTTCACTCCTATGCCCCAACCACCCCACCCATCTGTAGAAAAGAAACCCCAGCTAGAAAATCGCAGAAAGAAAGCATGAGGAAGTAGCAATAATACAATCGACATAAGCGTAAAGAGGGAAGTTGGTGCAGGGTGTGGAAGTATTCTCAATATGGTGCTTCATTCTCGTAAATATCTCTACAGACAGTTGAGAGCATTTTTACTGTAACAAAGTTAGCATGCTATGATTCAAATGAAGAGATGTTGACACCTACCAAGATCTCGTCATCCATGTTTGCGTCTCCATTGGTAGCTGGCTCAGCAGCAGCATTTGTAGCTTGAGCATCGGTACCGGTCTCTGCATTCGCGGCGTTTCCGCTCTCCCAGTAATCGGCCATCTCCAAATCGAGTTCTTCAGCAGTCTTCTTCTTAGCTGGGCGAGCATTAGTGGCACCGGCACCACCACGGGAGCCTCTCTTTCCTCCTCGCTTCCCAGCTTGATCCTTGCTGTTTGGCTTGTTTGAAAAAACAGCAGATTTTGGTTGCGATTTTGGCGCGCTTGTAATTCGGTCCGTAAGTCTCTTAGCAAGCTTCTCCTCCATAATGCTGGCGGCCTCGGCATCAACGAGAAGTTGAACCTATTGATAGTAAGTGAATGAACTTGAGTACGATGACTAGTGATAAAAATTACCCTCAATGATCTGTTGTCAACCTTGACACCGTTAAGCTTGGATACAGCAGCGGCAGCATCACCTTGACGATGGAAGGTGATATTGGCTTCGCCACGGCTAGTTCCATTTGGACCATAAACTAGTTGAACGATCTTGGTGTGCAATTTGGCTTCGTGAAAGTATTCCTAATCATTGAAAACACATGGTATTAGTTACTGAGAAAGATGCACGGCAGGAACTTTCTTCGAAGTCGGCAGTCCACATAGAAAAAGGGCATTCGCGATATTCCAAAAGGATTTCCGTTCCGACACCTCCATGGAAAACAGCCAGCGAGCGAGCGATCAGCGTTAGTGATACTATCAGTATGCTTGTCTGAAGAACAAATTCAATCGACTCAAATTGAGGAACAGTCAACATGCTCAATCGGTAATATTGATTGTCGTATCCCATCGACGCGTCTCTGTGTGAGAGATGTTCAGGTGCAGCACGTCAAAGAATCATAAACTCCATAACTCATAAACACAAGATAGGTGCGACTGCTTCTCCATGAAATGAAGAGCACCGTCTCGGAACAAACGCCCAAAAAGATGAAAGCTGTGCTGTGATGTGCTTTGCTGCGCTGTGTTTGCTCAACCACTCTGCTCGCTGGGTCTTTCTGTCTTGCCTTCACCCCTCTGAACTCTCCATTATTCTTGCCATGCAATGGCATGCCAGTCATCAATTTACACCATCGTTCGCCTGCGCCAAGTTCGAAATCAGGAGCTTGCCAGGCATCCTGAAGAATTATTGGTCTTATGCAATCTGACGAGCTTAACTTCAATCCTACCAATGCATCAAGCGATTTGCGAGCAAAGGTATGAAGAAAGACTTTGTGATGGGTAATAGGGATAGGTCCTCGTATGGTCAAGGCCTTAACCACTTCGACGAATCAAGAAGAGGCGTATAAAAATATCGATAAAAGTTCCTTCAAGGCCATAGACCTTAACGGCAACATACCTTAATCTGTTGTTCTGTCACATCATATGGCTGACGTAAAAGTCGTTAGCAGTTGAGCCTCGAGTAAGATGTGATGAGATAGACATACCAAGTTGCTAACCACAATACGAGATGGGGCGTTTCCTCCCGAGGGACCAGCTGGAGCAGGCTTTACTGCACCCTTAACTGGCTTCTTGCTCTTGGATACACCTCCGACTGGAGCTGCAGTGGCGTTGCGACCACCTGGAGCACGTCCACCACGACGACCGCCGCCACGTCCACCACGTCCAGTGCCTGATGCTCTTTGAGTAGCAAGGATCTCATCGAGAGATTGACCGAGTTTATCAGAAGACATTGTGAAGTTTTTTGGGTTGGGAAGTGAGAAATTGGCTGATTATTGTTCGTAACGTTAGGATCAAATAATGTAGAAAAAGTATTGACCGAGTATGAATTGATCAATAAATTTCGAAGATGGGAAAGAAGCTAGCTGACTTTGATTTCTGATGCGCTGAAATGCGTTCTATGAGGATCAGGCTATGGCTGAAGACGCGCCTGAAGGTGTTGTTATTATGGCAAGGGTAATTTGCGATTATCCAAAGCTGGATAGAGTCGCAGATTAATAAAGTTAACTTCTTTGAAGAACTTGTGGATTTAAAAAGTTATGAATAGAAAGTTGTTGAAGTTCGAGTTGTCGATGGATTATGTCGAAAGTGTCCGAAGTATTTGTTTGTTCTTGAAAGGAGTTGGAAGGAAGGAGGCTGAGTTTACTTTGCGACACGATTTGACGCTAGTCCATGGTTGAGTCATCATTTCTCTCAACACATGACTTCTCTAACCAATTTGAGCTTAGTTCAAGTAGCGAGGTAGCGTAGCTTCCAATCTGTGCCCAAAGTGAATTCTTTCTACCAGAACCTTTGGATGATTTCTTGATCACATTTCCACATATGACTTTGAAGTTTGATTCGATTCGACAGGTTGACGGGTTGCAGGCAGTCAATCATGTACTGGCTACGGGTACCTGGTGAATAAGAGACAGATACATTGTTACAGTATAGGTGGATACGGTATGTAGGACCTTATTCATATCTTCATACACGAAGATCAATTTAGTACAGCGAAATTGGGACTGCTCCAAACAGGTTTCGATGCTATTTCCTCGAACCTTGGAATATCCTGTCCCTTCTTGATATCGCAATTCACTCAAATAAGCACTCGGTTTCCTACTCAATCGACCAATTCTCCAGTTACCAGAACAATCCTCGATTCATATTTGAAACCCATGTATTGAATACAGCGCGCAAAAATGCAGCTCAGTACAACCTTGTAATAGATTCGATACATTGGCTCTATGAGTAGGAGGGTCAAAGTATGAAATGAAACGCCCAAGAATTTTCCGCATGGTTTTCCATAGCTTTCTAGCAACATCTGTCCAGCGGTCCGCCCATAAAACTCCAGAAAGTACAAATGCCCAGAGAGTTGTGGAAATATGTCATACACAGTCACCTTTCAGTCCCAGTTTCCCTATAGCCACATATATCCTGCTCTATGGCAGAAGCAGTCATCCTCTCAAATCAAAACTATCCTCTCCAATCATCTTCCTGCCACGTTTGCTTTGCTGTCTTGAGATGTGGAAGTGGAGCTAACTTTGCTGTCTGATTTGGGCTCTTCCACCGAGTTGATTTCGAGAATGTGGTAGAGGACGATCAAAAGCATTGCAGCTGAGCCAAGGAAGATCGCGAGGCGGTAAAGTTCATCGTCCGAAATCATCTTGTATAATTGTTATGCGAATTGCGATTCGGGAAGAGTATTGAAGGAGGCCACGTAAGGTCTTAAAGAGAGAGAGACGATGAGTAGACTAAATAACTATTAGAATTTCTTTCCTTTCAATCAACAAACAATAGATTTGAGGGGAACATACCACGAAGCTTCGATATCTACATCAATTGTACTTAATTGTGATTGACTTTGAGGTTGTTGATTCAAGCAAGTCAGATCGTTCGTGTCGCAACAGCTTCGCGGCTTTCATGTAAGGCCAGCTTGATGGAGCCAAAGTCCAAGCTTCACTCCCCTACTAGCCCCATTCGCTAAAGTAGCCATTAAATTTTAACCCCACCAAGATCAATCAAGTCCTTGATTATGATGATTTTGATTTTGATTTCATCACCGGTCTAAAAATTACTACTCCGTACTATTTCTTTAGTCCCACATCAGGAGAATACAAACACAGTCTTTTCCGCATATCGATACCCTTCCATTGAGTCTGGTGCGTACCTGATTATCGATTGAATCAGTCATCTATACAATACACAGAGTCTTGATCAACAATCCGACAAAATGCCACCAAAGAAGGGAAAAGGCCAGCCGGATCAGCCTAAAAAGGCACCGGCCACAGTGGCAGACAAGACTTTTGGAATGAAAAACAAGAAGGGAGCCCAGGCGCAAAAACAAATCGAGCGAATGCAAACTTCGTATAAAGCTGGAGGCACTCCCGATGAAAAGAGACGACAAGCCGAGAAAGAACAGCGAGAACGAGAAAAGATAGCATCAGAAGCGGCGAAGAAAGAGGCAGCTGAATTATTCAAGCCTGTACAAGTTCAGAAAGTCCCATTTGGTGTCGATCCCAAAACAGTTCTCTGTCAATTTTATAAGAAGGGCCATTGTGAGAAGGGTAGGAAGTGTAAATTCTCACACGACCTTAACATTGAGCGCAAATCAACAAAAATCGATCTTGCGCAAGATCCCAGAGAGGCAGAAGCAGAGAAAAGAAAGGAGGAAACTTCAGATGATTGGGACGAGGAGAAACTGCGCTCCGTTGTATTATCGAAAAAGGGAAATCAAAAGACTACAACGGAGAAAGTTTGCAAATTCTTTATCGATGCTGTAGAGGAGGGAAAATATGGTTGGTTTTGGACATGTCCAAATGGAGGGGACAAGTGTATGTACCAACATAAGTTACCGCCAGGGTATGTTACATTGCTCTATTCAATTATTTGTGCAATCACTAACCAGTATCCAGATTCGTCCTCAAAACCAAAGAACAACGTGCTGCAGAAAAGGCTCTTATGGATAAATCACCTCTAAAGACACTTACCCTTGAGGATTTCCTTGAGTCTGAACGACACAAGCTTACTGGCACATTAACACCAGTCACGCCAGAGACATTTGCTAAATGGAAAGCCGAGCGTATGGACAAGAAGGCTGGTGAAGAACAAGCTAGACTTGCCAAAGAAGCTACCGGTCGTGCTATGTTCGAGAAGGGAGATTGGGAAGCCAGTGGAGATGAGGATGAAGGCGATGATAATGAAGATGATGCATGGAATATGGAGAGAATGCGACGAGAGACTGAGGCATTACGTGAGAAGAAGGAGCAAGAACGATTGGCCAACATGTATGGCGGAGCAGTCCCAAGTAGTAACGAAGCCGCACCTCAGATCGTCGAACCTGTAGCAAACGAGGAGGGGGAAGCCTCCTAATTAATTCAAGATACACGACATAAAAAGTCATTACTTGAAATCAATTTTTGAACTTTAGCGTCATTCGAAATGGGAATGTGAAATTGGATTATGGGATTTAAATTGGGAAATATGGTTTCGTCGAATACAGTCCTCAAAATTGAGGCTCATGGGACACTTCTCTACCCACAGCATCTTGCAACCACCACAAGAATCAAACTTTATGAGAATCGGCATCTGCATCCACATGAGGATCTGTTCTGAAAGAGAAACAATCATCACTATTCCAGCTAGTCTTGGTATTTCCAGCACCCCGTGTGATGGGTAGGTAGAGTCGATACAGGGAGACATAAATTGATGTACACTTAGATATGCACTCCTTATTCAATAAGACTTTGTCCCCTCTTCGACTTCTTGCCGACTGCTTTCCTTGCCCAGTCTCTCCGAATCTCAATCTCATCAGTCACTTTACCGTCATTTCATCTTTCCAAATAACCTATCCAAAGTTCTCTCTTCCCGATCTAACAACAACTCTCTCCTCTCCCATCATTCTCACTATATCAATTGTTAGTTACGTTTCGAATACCCAGCAAAGTATATTCATATTCGAAGGATACAAACTTACCCCTCTTCTAAATGTTTATAACCAGAAACCTCCAGCACATCACGCGTGAACATTCCGAATCCCGTCATTGCACCCAGTAGGATGCAGATTATGATATATCCTTTTGCAATTAGTATGGGCTCCGCGAGTAAGGTGTTTTAGTGGAACTGGGCGGCATTAGGATGATGAGATTTTAAAAAGTCTTACCGTTACTATACATCCACATCATCATCATCGTATAAGAAATCGCAAATTGCAGGCCATGAATCCCTGCTCTTGAAACTTGCTCCCAGACCTCAATTGAAATCCGTGGAATGCGCATCCATTTCCACTCCAATATTCCAGCTTTATCTGCTCGTTTTGGATTGTCATTATGTCCGAGGAGAAGCTTGTCCTCTCCGTCTTCGTCTGCTGTCTCAAGGGACTTCTGCTGTGCACGATGTGCGTTCTTGGAACGCAGATACCGATCGTAGGTACGTTGGTAACGACGGGTTGTTTCGAGGAGTATAGGGAGGAGGAAGGAAAAGAGACAGACGAGGAGGAATTGAATGGAGGTGTGGACTTGGAGGGAGGGGTGGAGGTAGCAGGTTGATGTGGTGTGGAAGTTGAGGAGCATCTAGGGTGGGCTAATTTAGTATGGTAGTAGGCCTTTTGAAGTTGCCGAATGTATGGAAATGTGATGGAGATACGAAGGAGACGTGGAGGGACTCACAGACATCTTACAGGGAGTGTGGGATAGAGATGTGTTCGCAGTGCTGGATGACATATCCATTTCCATACTCATGTCCATATCCATATCCATATTCATTTTGAAATTCTCAATCGCCTCGAGAATTTGACCCAAATCACCGCCTGCTGTATCGAAACGCAAAGTGTATCGGAGAAGTCAGGAGCAGTTTTATGCAAGATATGGTATGATACGTCCTTTCTCATTTTCAATCCATTTTATGATCAACAGTTAGGATCTCCTCGTACCTCGCTACCTACATACTGCTCAAATGTGCGCAAACACGACAAACACATAACTATCAAATAAATCGGGGTCCAATGTCTCAATTTTCCAGATTCCGATTAATCAGAGCGACCTGTGTCATGTGGCAATATTAACTATTATGAAAAATCTCACATTCGCTCTGGAACTATCGATGAAAGTAATAGTACTGCTACATACCTACTTACCTATCTACAACGTCTCTCAATCCCCTGATAGGAAATTCCCCAATCGTCGAAAATGCGCTCAAATTCGCGCAGCTAAAGTTGCGCTAATGTGCTCACTTTCATAGTATGCTTGGCTTGCATATTGGGTATACTAAATGTATAGCTTGCTGGATGGATACTTGACTTGTTAGTTGGATGGATGAGATGGATTGGTGAGATGGGTTGATAATGGGAGAGTGATGAGGGAGTTGAGAAGGTTTCTTAGTAATCGATGATTCTGGAGAGGAGGTGAGAAAGTAAGTACACGCGTCTGCGTGTAGTGTGGGCTGTATGTGGAATTTTGGATGGGTGTTATATCTTAGTAGGTATGATGATTCGGAGTGGGTGTTGGTTTAAAGAACATAAAATTTATGGGTGGAGATTTCTTTCCTGGATTAGCTACACTTTGTTGTTGTTCTCTACTCATTGAAACTATTTGTTGCCCGCAATACGACTGAGTCATATTCGGCTCGCGAAAATCGTCCGAAACTATCATGAGTAGATCAGTAATCTATACTCATTGAAGCACAACTCCCTGTTCTCGAATCTCACCGCACCCGATCAACATGCCCGTCGTCGATTCCAAAAAATACTCCTGGTATCCCCACTTTTTCTTTGCTTTCCCGCATCCATTTTCTCTGCAACTATCTCTCTACCTTCCTATTATTTACCTTCATTCAACTGATCCAAGAATCAACAGCGAACCATGTATCCGCGGGCATAGAGCAACAAAATGTACGCATACCAATCGACTGCTGGTTTTGGTACGCAAGCCAGGTCGTCCGATGCAGAGTTGTGCACATGAACTTGAAGGGTGTGTTTGTGGGAGATTAGGTGGAGCTGGGGAGGATTGGGGTGTTGATGGTGAGTTATTCTTTTCTTTGTGGGAGGGGGTGGATTGATGGAGTTCTGGGGCAGGATATAAAGCTGATGAGTGTAAGGGCCCACAAATACGTCGAAGTCAGTTGGTTACGATGCGAGAGAAAGTTCCAATGTTATCGGTACTCTGGGATCGGAAAAGCCCAGAAAGTATGTGTCGAGAACGGAGAGCAAAAAAAGGAAGAGAAAGGCCAAGAGAAGTGGAAGAAGCGATGTCCAGAAGGACAAGGTCAAAAAAAGAGCAAAAGGTCCCACATCATCATCTCCGAAAGCCTTATCTCCATCCCCGAAATGCCCAATGTCGGATCAGCAGGAAGCAACAGAGTGCAGCAGCAACACCACCCCGGAACTTATCCTCGACCCAACACACCCAAAAATATTTATCACCAGCTCTATATCCGTACCCGCTATATCGAACTTCCTCCCTCCTATCACCACACTGATTCCCCAAGTCCAAGATCATAACCTCGTTGCTCCTCAGACGTCGTACATTGATCATTCACCTAGCTGTATATTCCATCATCATCAACAACAAAATGATCAAACCAGTCTTCGGATGCCTTTCTCAAGTCCATTCTTGCGATATCACTGAATAGGATCTTCAAGCAATTTTAACTGAACAACATCGATTCCTTCAATGGATAGTGTCATGCAAGAAGAAATTGCGATGGGATCTGAAACTTATGTATTGAAGTACAGAGTATGGAGAGAGTAGAAGCTTCGAAGGAACAAGTTTAAGTTGCTAGAGTGTTAGTCCATTCCTCGTTAAAACTGAACTCTTGTCAAGGCCCATGAGATCACTAGCGAGCTTTCAAGGTTATCAATGATTTCAGTCTTGCAATCAAAATCTGCGGTAAAAAAATACTATTGCAGGGATTATGAATACTTGATAAAGTTGAAGTTATTTTTATATTTCGCTAGCCAACTTCTCTATGAGCACGCTGCTGAGGCAAAAAATACTACATCATAACGCCCACACGCTTATACAAGTGGATTGACAACCTGAAGTGGAGTACCCGGCAATTCTGAGCTCTCCTGCATTCTGTTATTCCAAATTTCATCAGCCCTACAATCCTCACATACCATTTTGCGTTCATTGTTACGATAAGACCACGGCTCCCTATCAACTGGACCAGCCATACACCACCTTTTATGTACATAAGAATTACCTATAGAGATATTCAAATAGTCCCGCTCTTCTGTCGGGAGTCCAGACTTTCTCAGAAGGGTTGGGATCTCCAGCTCCATCTCCCATCTAGTCGCTTCAGCTTCCCATAATCTCTTGATTTCATAATCCATCTCTTTTTTCCGCAAATATTCTCTGTCGACTTCGCATTCAGCATCTCTCGCTTGCGTTTTGAGATTATCTTTGACAGCCTCGTAAGCAATTTTTTCTTGCTTGAGAGTTTTTCTAATTGAGTTACGTCTCTTTATCTTCGTGACTGATTTGATCAGACCCGAATTATTTTTCAATTCTTCTTCCCATCGTTCCTCACTCTTTGCTCTCCTCTCATCTTGACGCTTCAATTCCTCAATGACTTCCACTTCTGTCGCCGTCAAATTCTCTTTCTTCGATCTGATTATCTGAAGTCTTGTAGACTCAAACCTTGCTAGCTTATTCGCGTATGCAATTAATTCCTCTCTTTCTTTGTCCCAAGGTCCATTTGTCGATTCCATCGTTTCTCGCACTCTCATACGTCTGTGGCGTCGGCGTTCAAGTGGAACCGGGTCCATAATATGTACTGAGGCAAGTGCAGCTTCGATTCTTCGGTGTATCTGAGGATTACATCCAGTTTGAGATATGCCAGCCCTTGGTATCTGAGAATTAGATACAGTTTGAGATAAGCCAACCCTCGGTGTCTGAGAATTAGATGCAGTTTGAGAGGTTCCAACCCTTGGTGTCTGAGGATTAGATCCAGCTTGAGATATGCCAGCCCTTGGTGTCTGAGAATTAGATGCATTTTGAGAGGTTTCAACCCTTGGTGTCTGAGAATTAGATACAGTTTGAGAGGTTCCAATTCTTGGTGCCAATGGCATAGACGGTGGCTCTTCAGAATCAGAATCTATTCCGGAAAATCTTACACTTTTCCTCTTACGTGTATTTTCCATGATGTTGTTGGCTGTAGTTGGATAAAGATATCGTGACGTTATGAGACGGCAGTGGATCTGAAGATCAGGTCAAGTGTGCAGAATTCCTTGTCATCAGTTCAAAAAATGCTTGGAAGCGTATGTAATAACTCGCACGAGGTTTGGTGTGAAGAATGGACTGTCGAATATCGTTCAATAGAGTAATGAGCTGCGGTATTTTGATTGACGGTCGAGTTATTGGGAGATGAATGCTCAAGTATTAAGGATAGGAGGTGCAAAAGCGATGTGTAAAATTATATAACATGTATACTAAACTGGTTTCCAACGGTTGAAGAATGCTTTTTGGATAATTGAATGTTGTTAATTTGATTTTCGAGTATAAGAGCCTGGTTTGAAAGATGCGAAGTAAATAGAGAGGAAAACAGGAGAAATTGGGAGAGGAAAGAGTGATAGAAACAGAAAGTAAAAGCACAATGAGGACTCGTTCCTCGCGCTTTCCTCTAATGTCTCTCCCTCGAAGATAGATAGGAGATGCACTGGCTCATCACACGCTTTTCGATAGGAAAAGTCCATCACTGATTTGATTTTCGGTTGACTCTTTTCTTATATCCGATATATATTTTCAGACCCGTACAGACTAGTACTTCAAAAACACAGCTTTTTCAGTATATCATTTAAAATTTTAGCCCCCCATCACTACAACGATAACATTCTTATAGGGCCAACAAGAAAGATTATAAAAAGAATCTTGTTAGTTACTCTCTGCTTCCTTCATTCGACACCACTTTTGCAATTCTTCCGACTTTACAATTGCACGTATTTCCTTCGAGGACTTCAGAATTGCGAAACGTTAACTCTCAGTAATGGCACTAGCATCATCTTTGCAACGCACCTCATCCTTCTCGGAGACCCTCTCGATATACGTACCACCCGAATACAATCATCTCTGTCTAAAAGACTAGTCCAAGCGACATGAGCAGGATCAGTTTCGCGTACCAGGTTTACCTCTTGATTTCAAGGAGAATACTCCCGCTGTCCTATCTCGGAAATTTCAATTTCTCTTCCATGTTCTGCTTTATTTTTTGATCGGTTCACTCTTTTACTTCACGCTGCATGTGCACCAGTGACTACTCTTCCTCTTTTTGCTGTCTCCTGCGCGGCTCTGCCTCCAATATTTACTTTCCTGCCAATCTGTCTGTTGCATTTCTTGCTGCGTCTCAAGTTGCTTCTCACTTCCTATCAACAGTTTCTCTCCGTGCTTCTATAAACCGACGCCGCTTGTTAATCCTGAAATCTTTCATGCACAGGTTTTACTCGATGACACTCTTAGTTTGATGATTCCAGCGTCTTGGCATGATGAATTTGAAGACTCAGTTGGAATGGCAGGCGCGAAAAGCGCAAAACTTAAGGTTCGGTTCGGGAGAATTCCCGTCCTACTATCTTATGCATCTCAGCTTATGTCTATAAATCTGTGCATGTGTCGTTACATAAGACTTTGATAACCATCAACTAGTCTTCATGTATTTTATTTGTCTTGGCAGAAACTGTGAATTTATACATTGAGATCAAATATAGATAGGTTTGTTCTCAGTAAATATTAACTGTCAAGCCCTATACTTGGAATAGAAGCTTGGGATTCGGAAAGCAGAACCATCAGATAGGGTTCGAGACCACGAGAATTATTCAAAGTGAGGCTCTGGATGAGCAATGAGCAGAGCATTGGAAAAAGTGAATATCAAAATAGAGCTGATGGTAAGAAGGTTGACTTAAGAATCAATATTATTTGCAATACTAAAGTTAGTGTTCGTGTAGGTAGTATTCGGAATTTCTAATGTAAAGAATAAAGAGAGCTCGAATATGCAGGAGGCGATTCGCTTGAGTACGAGAAACTCCAAATAATTCATAGCTCGTTCTTTCCCATTGAATTGATGGAAATCAGACATAGTTTTGTTGGTGATTCACACAGGTGATGATGCACATTTACAATTCACAAGACTCATCGATATCAATTGTCAATCACAGTCATATCAAGATCATTTCACGATCTATTTCAAAAGTCAAGAGTAACAAAAAATTCAAATTCCGTATTAAAAAGCTAAGTACACTCAAATTACGCATTTCCATAGGACAAGCCTGCAGAAATCGTCATGAACACACCCAACTCTCTAATTTCGATAATAATCAGCCCTAAGCCTACTTTGCTCTTTCTCTTCCGCATAAAAAGCAAGTGCACAATCATACCGACAGTCCTCGCACCAAGAGCCTCCTCGTTGTAGACCACTTACTGATGTCATACAACTCTCCACATGTATCTTGGCGTTTCTCGCACTGCGATCCTCGCCTAGTTCCTGTAGCCAACGCTCTTCTTCCGCCTTTCTAGCCATATCAAAGTTCCTCTCCAACACTAGCATCTGTTTCGCATCCGCTTCGATTCGCTCTTGTGTTGCTTTCGAATGGAGTTTAGATGCAATCTTACTTCCCCATTTGTTGGAATGTCGGGCTTGTTCTTGTGCTTTGATGAAATTGAATAGACTTTCCGCCGCTTTATCTGTCGCCTTTAGCTCGGTATCCCATGGTGTTCCTCTCATACGTTCAATCTTGACACGATTTTGCATACGTCTAGCGTGTCTAGCAAGCTTTGCTTCTCGTTCATGCTGCTCCTTGGCTTTTTGGGCAGGCGACTTGCTTGCTTCCTCTCTTTGCTTTTCTGCTGACACAGCTTTCTCGATATCGTTCCATGAGCGTTGGGTGCCTAGAAGAGGACCCATGTCGATATTTGGAACGAGGGATCTGAATGATTTGGAGTTGTTCTGATGTCTATTGGCCATGATGTACTGTTGTGGGTAAGAAGAAGTTTGATATTTCGAATTGCTTTGTGGACTGGAGTTAGTTTGTTAGAAGTGGGGATCTGGAAGCTTAAGTATTGAGTAATCAAGCAAGTTATGATTATTTGAAGCATGAGTAAATTTGGATGTGAATGTGTATATTTATCATTTCGAGTCAGAAATTTTAACGTTATTCATTGAGTGTTCCGTGATTAGAAAGATGTATGAATCAATGCAGTACAATGAATATTTGCTGTATGAACGAATTTTATACAATGAATCATAATTCCACGGGATCTTTTTGAACAAAGAGCTTTCATTATGCAAGTAGTTTCAGTACACTCAGTCTTTATTGTACAAGAGATATCTAAGCAATAAATCTCTAATTTATAAAGCATTTTCGAACAATCGATCTTCATTGTACAGAACTTATTAATCATACATCAATTCTATGTTGTGAAAGTATCTCTTTTTAATAGACTCCTATTGTACAGGCCATTTCTGTACAACAGAAATCTACTATACCGACAAGTTCAGTACAATGAACTCAGTATGTCCCCTCTCCTCTGCCCAAAACTCGTTTATTCTGTAATCATCCTCTCAGGTAGTCACTTTAGCGTCACATGTGGCATGTTATCATTTTAAATCTCGGATTGAAAGTCACGCATTAATTTCTGATTATCTACTTCCTAGTGGAAGGATTGCTAACAGTACAATATTTCATGCCCCTAGAGTTTGAACCGGCGGACCTCATTCCAGAAACGACCAACCTCTTTTTCATCTTTGCAGTCCATGCAGTGTCTACCTCTCTTTTCAGGCTCTTGAATACTTGGCATACATTTTTCGAGATGCATCTTCCTAATATCATTATCGATATTTAAAAGGCTTTGAGGGGACCAAATAACACCGTCTTCATCAGGTCTTGTGTATCGGCCGTCTTGGATACCTGCAGCCTCCAGCTCGGCATTCCAGCGGTAGAACTCGCGATTCCATGCTTCTTCGAGTTTGTGTTCTCTTTCTCTCTTTTCTTCATCTCTCTTTGCCTTTTTAATCTTGAATTTTCTCTCCACCTCAGCAAAAGCGGAATATTTCCATTTTCTATCATGAGCGGATTGAGTAATCTTATTGAACTCATGGATCTTGTTCCATTCGTCAGCGTCACGTAACACCCTTTCTTCTCTTTCTGCGGCCATCCACTCTCGGGCTAGAACCTCCGAAGCATTCAATTCAGACCACCATGGTGAACCCATCTTAGAGTCAACAGCTTTTCGAGCCATTTTGCGTCTTTCTTTTCTACGTCTACGCTCTTTCAACTCCTTAGTCAATTTTTCTTGGTATTCCGGGTCATCGCGTTGTTCTTCAGCTCTTTTCGTGTCATCGTGTTTATCGCCCCGATGGCTTGAATGTCCGTGGCGGCGGTGATGTCCTTCCATCGTAAATGAAGCGAATTTGCTGTTTGACCTTGGTCACCGAGTGTTAAAAGTCTATGGTTTGTTTGAGAGACGTAACTACTCAATATCTTTGGTAATATATTCTGTGTCAGCACCAGCAGCTAAACGTATAGAGCATCCACATACCAATTTAGAATTTGGCGACAGTAGAAGAATGTGTAAGCGTGAAGTGTAACAGATGTTGAGCTTGCTATCCTTGATGTCGTGATGTACTGAGTGATGGTGTATTTCGATGCAACTTTTCAATTTTGAGTATGTAAAAACGAAAGAGAAAAAATCCTAAAGCCGGAAGGGAAAGGAAAGGGTATAGGTGGTTTCTTCATGGATAGACTCATAGAGAGATACGATCCCAATACTCATCGCGAATGAATATATTCATCAATATTACTCAAAACCCACCATATGAATATTCTATACATCCAACACTCATACGACTTCTCTCAGGGAATTAAAGAATCATTCCCAATTTTTCTTGCGCGATTGGAATCACAACAAACTCAATCCCCATCCGTCAGGTGTTGATCACATAACTCATATCCTATCCATATTCGATCATACCGTAGCAGAACAGTCTTGAAATTTGTAAAAGACATAGTAACACTGAGTATTCCAGACACAAATTGAAATCCGAACGCCATTTACATATCAAAACCCAAATCTCATTATAAAAATGATCGTCAAACATCACAATTCATGATTCAAACTGTTGAAACGGTAGACTTCTACCAAAATATTTCACACACTAGCATAAAAGAGGCTCTAGAAAACACGCTACTCTTCCCGCTGTTGCTGCTATTCTTACTATGAGCCTATCATATATCTGGAATGGCGATGGGACATCATCCAGAAGATCCTTCCCAAGGAAAAGTGTCTTCTAATCTGAATTGTCAATATATTTTGATTAGCAGGCAGCTGCGCTCATCCTTAACCCTCGAGTACGTATAATATATCGCGAAAAGATTGATATGATTCGGATCTTGACCGAACAAAGACTAAATGATTTAGTCGCATTTCTTCTTATTCCAAGAATTCTCCATCAGGATTCGTCTCCTGGTGGCATCAAGTTGTTTACCCACCACTTCTTAAGATCGCCCATTCTGCTATATTAGAGCTAGCATAGCATCTGCAATCTGGAAAGAAAAGCCGACTACAAAATACAAATGAAATTACCTTAGCTAATCGAGATATCTTCATATCCTATACCAAAGACTTTTCTCTGTAAATGCTCTTTCCAGTAGGTCCAGCAAACATCTTTAGGCACTAAAACTGTAGATCTTTGAGCCTGTACAAAAATAGCAGGAGCTAATGATATTGCGAGCCAATTTCCCGTAGCTCTCATGACCGAAAGAGCACCTCTGTTGAGTGTCAAAATCTCATCCCAGTTAGCCACATCGACCAAATCGTCTTTCCAAAAATTATGGATTATTCTGGAGCCAGAGGAGCCTTGTCGTTAAGAAGCGCCTCTAACTTTCGTGCTGTCTTGTGAAGTCCGCCAGTCTCAGCATTGTGCTTCCGTGCACTCGAGATGCTTTCTCCGACACCCTTATACACTCTCAGGGCCTTCAATTTGATCAACGTGAAATTTAGATTTAAGCTTGAAACAGCAAAAGTGGTCTCGTTCTGTAGCGTTGCAACACTGGCAACGATTCTCGAAATTGCGCTTCCGACGAAGGCCATCGCCTAGAATTCGATGCTCTTTTTTAGTCTCTGATGTCTATCGTTTGCCATATATGCTGTGTATTGCATTTTGTCAGAGGATCGATTTTTCAGCTTGTTTAAACATTGTGATACCACGGAGTTTAATCCTCCGTCACTGTAACGTCACCCACGTTTGACAAGAGATATGTAAATAAGACCAACATTGAGCCGGCTAGATCAATAAATCTTCCTGCGTATCATTGGAAATTAAAAGAATTGAACAACAAGAAAATGGAATATTGAAAGAATGGTCGCCAAAGTCGAAGTGCATCTACAGCAGGTGACTTCCAAATCGTGACTTTAATACTATTCCTGGGACTCCTTGTCGTCATCCGGCATACGAAGGCAATAAGTTCCTCCCGATTATGCCTCGTACCTTAAATTTCTCCTGGACCCCAAGTTTTTATGCATGGTCCTGGTTTGACCGCAATTGGAACGAAACCCTAATCATATAAGAAACCCATGGTACGCCCTTAGAGAAACAAGATCTATCGACTGGGCAAGATATCTTCAGCCAGTTCCAACCGCAGCTTCCGGAACCATAAAGAATTCAGAGACTGTTATTACCCTGCATTAACAGAGTACATTGAACTTCCAGAAAAATGTGAAAGTATCTACAACCTACCCATCGCAACCCCAGCAATGAACGAGAGACGAAAGTAAACAAGAAGCATCTTCGAAGTCCACACCTCTTCCAGAATCACAATGGTGATGGAAACCGATTATGATATTGGCATTGTGTGGTTATGGACTGTATCTGCATATACCAGGATGGTTATCGAAGGGTAATTTAAGTCAAGTAAAGTGTAAAATCAGAATCTGAGATTGTGATATGACAGCACTTGTTATCAAAGACCGCGTGATACATACATACCACGAACCGCTCAATATATGAGATATGAGATATGAGGTTGAATGATATATACTTTAATGATATGTAAACACGAGTAGAAACAACAGTGAAAGAGTCTCCGCACATAAGATCTTACAATTCACAACTTCAAATCAAATCAAATCAATAATTCAACCGAATCCTGCATCACGTGCAGTATCTCTCTCAAGCTAATCTAATCTAGTTAGCTTAAAATGCAAATCACATGACAGAAACTCGCATCATCCTCAAACATCACATAATCAAACAATACTCGAAAGAAACCCACAATACAAGTCTCTATCTCTATCTCTATCTCTATCTCTATCTCTAATACATCGGAATCCCTAAGATCCATCACATAGACATTTCTACAAATACAACACTCCAATCCCATCCCCTCCCAAACTATTTTTAGACCCCACCGTCCACGCAGCACACGTGACATCCCCTAAAAATGACTCATAATCACTCATAATCACTCACAATTCCTCACACTTCCTCATCACTCATCTTTACTCCCCACTCCCCCCCCCACATAATCGAACACCCAATCAGATCGCAGTATTTTCTTAGGAACGTCATTGTAATATTTTATTTGCTGGAAAGGGGGAGATGGAGAGAGGAGAGTGAGGGGGAATTTTGTGAGGGTTTGGTGAGGGTTTGGTGAGATTTGTTTTGTTTTGTTACAGATTACAGATTACAGACAGAATGAATGTGTTTTCTGGGTATACGTATAGAGTTACGTATATCGTAGAGTAATGAGTTTGATAAATAGAATATTATCATTCATTCATTGATCGAGTACGGTAGGTATGTGCAAATATTTGATATACATAGGTACATAGATACATAGGTAAGATTACATAGGTATACACACACACTACATAAACGAGAAGAAATACAACACCGCAAGTACCGTGATATATGCTCAACATAATGAGCTATGAATAGGTACCTAGGTATTCATTTCGACTCATGCTGAGGGATAATGATGAGATATTTCTCATGAGTGTTCTTGTAGTTGTAAATATGAGTTATTGTGTGGAAGATGATGTATGTATGTATGTGATGGGAATGATATATATAATGAATTATAGAGAATATCATGGTGATCTAATGCTCGAAAGATGTGAGAGTGTGAGTATCCAAATGGATTGCATTGAAACGATATATGAGAACTTATGAGAAGAAGATGTGAGTACTCCCAAATTACTTCAACCCCCAATGCATCTGAGACTGTGATTCAAATCCTTTTTGCCGATATGAGTGATCAATCTGCTGGTCCATGAACTATCGAACCGACATCGTCTGAATTTCTCACTTCATAAATCTTTCACATATCAATTCTTTTATCACGAATGGCAAACTAATGGTGGTGTATGATAATTCAATTCAAGTCTCGATAATCGCGCCCATGGGAACAAATAGCACGTCAAAAACCCCTCCATCCTTTCCAAACCGGATCCTAATTCTTCTTACTCAACAAACTTTTCAAAATATCCGTCTCACCCTCCAGTTTCGCAACACGAACTTTCAAGGCGTCTCGTTCTCGTTCGACTTCTTTGAGCGCAGCCTCGAGACTACTCATTTGATCGACGCGCTTTTGTCGATATCGACGAGCAGCTAAAGTGTTTAGCTTGCGTTTTTCAACTCGTGATATGGTGGATGAAGAACTGGTAGGAGTTTGAGTTTTGGGAGAGGGGGGTGAAGGTGGAGATGAGTGAGTTGGCGAGGAAGTTGATTTGGGGTTTGAAGAGGTAGGGGAAGATTGATCGGTGGATATTGCTGTTGGAGATATGTTAGTAATGTTAAATGAAGTTAGAAGTGGGAATCAGAACTTACCCCGATGAGTTTGATTATCAAGAAATGAATGGGATTGAGACATATTGTCAATGGATCCAACATCCGATTGACCCAGGAAATTATCATTACCAATAGAGGCACCAGCGGCGATGGGAAAAGAAGAATCAAGTGATAAATCTCCTCCTATTGACGGATCATTCCATGTGAGGAATTGGAAAGAATCGGTTTGTGGCAAGTACCAATCAGGGGAATTCTGGAAAGGTACTTCTTGGACTGGGGCAGTAAATGCATCGAGAGGAAACAAGGAATCTGCTGCCGAGGAAACAGAACATTGAGCATTTACATCGAAACCGAAATCATATTCATGGAATAATTGAGTAGAGCTGTGATCCCAAAGCGAAGAACTCTGGAGATCAAGAAGACTACTCGAACTAGACTGATTGCTGTGGTGCGTAGAATCCGATGGTGGATTGACGTCCGGCGGTTGCTGTTGTAGTAGCGGTGACCGGCATTGTTGTATAGTTTTTTAACGGGCCTTATGACCCGTAGGTGAAGTTTCTTTGATTATCGAAAGATAATAATTGTCGTTGTTGAAGGAAGAAAGAAGATCAAGAAATGAGAGTGAAGTTGAGTCCCTTTGTAGTCCATCACGATAAGCGCTAAGGTAGGTCTCCACTTTTCTGAGTGAATGGTGTTGTTTTAATTGGCTAGAATAATGTGGTGAAACCGTTTCTCTGCTCTGATTTGACCTTGGTCTAACGCACGTCCCTTGATCCATCAAGCATGTCTCCATGTGTATTCTCTTCATACTCGATGTCAAATTGAACAATAATCATTTATATTCGAATCTTGAATGATATTCCAAAATGTCTGGATGTAAGGGTTTTTATATTCTGAGTACTAAATACTGAAATGTACCTCCTCTACTGACACCAAAATCAAACCAAACTATCAGTGTTTCAATGTCTGGTTTTCTTTGCGTGATTTGGCGTACCGCTTTTTCGACTGGATGAAATCTGCACACTGGCTACATTGATCAAATCGGAGAAATACTCACATCTCACATCTCACATCCAGATAATGACTGCAGCTCGGTGACACCTCAGACTCAACAAAACAGTGGCTGCATCCAAAACATTTCATTCCCATTCCAAGTGTTGGAGAATTTGCCGACTGTGTTTTCAAAGAATCTTCCAAACTCGGCCAAGACGACCATTTTTCGTTTGCAGACGGAAAATTGACAGTCTCGGCCTACCTGTGTTATCGGTAAGTTCGGTCCCTTTGTGCAAGAGAATACCGGCAATAATCCTAAATGTCTCACAGGGCCCGAGTGAAGGAACGTCTTTCAATACCGATTGAAAAGCAACCTCGCCGATCCCAACAACATAGTTCATGCGACGATCCGGGAAATAACAGTTGCAACTGTTCTCCTCCAAAAAAAGTGATGGACAAACCTTTCTTGAGCTTCAATCCATCAATTTTGTCCTGCATCTGCTTTGCTACTGGCCTCACGCCGGACCCAAATTGCATGGGCATGATATGCTGGAAACAGAAAATCAAAGTACAGCTTTGCAAGCAATCCAGGGAAAAAGATCGCATATCGACAAGCAGCTTTGCTTAAATCAAACATATACGAAGACATCGACTTCCACTGCTCTCGAATCTTATCCCGGATGACATCTGTGGAGCAGGATCGTCTTTCAGCAGTAATCCATATTTCATTCTAACTATTGAATTCCGGACTGTCCGAACGGCCAACGAGAAAAGAAAATCGAATCTTATAGTTCAACTCGGCCGTTGCTGAAAAATCCACAAAGGCGAATTGCGAATACAACTAATCTGGCGTAAGAAACCGAATCAGAATCTTCAGAAAGAGCGAAATGTTCGAATCTTATGAAACCCCTGATCTTATTCGCCTCGAAGAAAGATGGTTTCTACTAGTTTGACACTACCGAAGAAATGAATCCCGCCACCAAGAAACCAATAATGAACTCGTACTGTTGTCCACTCGCATCTTCAATTGATGCCCGCTACGTATATGTATGAACCTAGACTCGGGAAGTCTTATGCAATTTATGTATTTTATGATGCAAATCTTTCTCCTTGGGGAATTATGCAATAAAGGAATATACCCAGATATACCAGTACACCGTTCGTTCGGTAAAAGATGTGAGATGCAATATCTTTTTTTGTCCGAAGAACTAAGCAGATCTCGGCCATAATCTATTCCTGGTCAGGGAGCCGAAGTAACAGGAAATTCACGAATCAGAAACTTGAAACTAAATTAGTCAGCAACCGAGGT